TGAGTGCAATTTAGGAAAATCACTTTCTTACGGAATGGACAGGAAAAACAATTTTCGGCAGCTACTCATGTTGTTCCATTATCGTCTTGCTCAACATGCTTATCGCTATGATGAGCAACTCTTATCAATACATTTCTGTGAGTTCTTTGTTCTCACTCTGTCAGAACGTACGAAAAGTGTTTTGATATAACTAAAGTTATGATATAACTAGTGCATAACTAGTGTTTAAGCGTTGCCGACAATATCTGCGCGCAAAAAAACACCCATGGAAAGCAAAAATTGGTAAAGTCCGCTCCATTGCCATTTTTTACGCGCAGTTGTTGTCAGCAAGAGCTTGCACTACTCCAAGTCGTCAAACTTGATAGACTATACAGTTGGATGAATTTAACAGCGTTTCAGAACCAAGCAGATATTGAGTGGAAATTCGCGAGAAGCAAACTTTTCCTTGAATACTTCGATGACACCGCAACTTTGCCTCCTCCATTCAACATCATTCCTAGTCCAAAAAGTTTCTATTATGGTGAGACAAAACTTATTAGACTCTCTTGACACGACAGCATTTATAAAAGAATATGATTTAGGTCTAAAATGGATTTGCGATAGGTACTGTGGCTGCTCGAAGGCCATTCAGGCGGGAAAGCAAAGGAGTATGAGGGTAAGATTGACAACAGATAGAGATGATAAGAATCCCAAACGTACTAGTGCTATTCAGAAAGAACGTGTATCATGTAGAGTGGTAAAAGTTCAGATGACGTGCACCTGTATCAAGCATGATTTTTTTTACAAAAACGTCCCTCCAAGATTTTATGATTTATTTTCAGAATCAAAAAATTCTTCGCGTTGTCAATGACCTCGAAAGCAATTATCGAGTAAGTGATGTTATTGTGATTGATTCAAAACTTTTCAGCGTACACTCACAACGATAGGCAGATTAGAACAGAATTTTATGGTAATATTATTTAATGTATAAATGTTGTGTGCATGGAAGAAAATTCATCGAAGAAAGAAGTGATTTTGAGTTCAAAATCTCTAGTGAGATGCCCTCCACATAGTGAAAAATTGTAAAGATGGTGTCACGTTCAAGTGTGTTAGCCTGAAAAAACCCGATTATCCAGGAAGAACTTGAAGAGAATGGCCCATAGCCATGAGCCTTTGCCAAGCTCGACACAGAGGATAAAGCGATCCACAGCCTGGCGCATGCCGCCCCTCTGGCTCGCTCCGCCCACTCACATAACCGAAAAGAGATCATGCGTTTACTGTCGCAATCAAATATCG